GGACAGGGACTTTCGATTGTCTACTGATTCATCGCGTGAGACATTTGTTACTCTGCCAACCTTTACCCCACTGGAACTAGACGAGGTAGTGGAGCCTTGTCGTCGACTCATTGGTTCCTTCACACCGTTCGACTTGCTACCACTCATCATCGAATGTCCAGATGAGTCGCTAATTTTATCAATGAGCCTCTTGGAGCGTAAATCAGACACAACTGTAGTCTTCTTTTTCCTCTCTCGATTGGCTTTTACACGTTGGCTTGAAATTGCAAAAGAGGAGAGGTTGTTTGAATTCGTAATATTATTAAAGCATTTCTATCGCTCTATAGTGATATTTCCTGTGAGCAAGACATATTATCCCGCATCACTAGAATGCTGGTGCCCGTTGCCCTACCTTATGCCATCTTCTTGTAAGGTTATAATTACAAGATTAGATGTTGTAGGTACCGGGGCAATAAAGGCATCGCTGAACAACGTGTCTTCTAGTACTAACGGCAAATGTATCCGCTCAGCACCATTTAAACCCTTAATCTCGAGAACTCTCACCACACATTACAATGGGACGGGTAGTAATAAGGACTTACGCGTATGGCTCTCGCATTGGTACCCCAAGGGTGGTACAAACGTCCTCCGCCTCGATCACACCCTTATTCTCCAGATCAAACCACCTAAACCAATTCTAAATTGGATAAAATAAGTTTCATCATTGTAAGTTTCCCTTAAAATAAATTGGGTTGGCTGTGTTGATTCGTAGTGTTATTTTAAAAAAAATGAGGTAATTTGTCATTTGTAACAAACATTTGGATCAACGTATATGTTGTATGAGTGCTTGCAGAAGACTTCATTCTTAAGTCGGAATTTCATAAGAAAGTAAAATGATATGAAATACTTTTGATCGGTAAACAACTGCTCAGGTCTTAAAACACTCCTTTTATTAGATGGACTACTTTATTCTACTCTTTGGTTTCTAAGCTAAAACCAAGAGGACCAAACACATTCAATACCCTAAAATATGGGGTAACAACTAGGAAACTGTCAACATAGGTGCAAAGTTCACTGTTTGCTTTGCTATTTGGAGGATCAAGGTATCTGTCGCCAGACTATGCTAGCATTCAACTAATAATCTTGCAAATCATCTTACATCCACAATTGCCAAATCTTGATTGGTTGACTTGAAGTATTTTTCCAATTCCGCCCTTGTTACGTAGCCATTGGAGTCAGTATCAACCTTCTCAATCTGGTCCAGCACATCCTCCACCTCCATTGGCCTTACTTCCTCTGTCAATCAGACATTTCCGATTCACACAAAGGGTTATAAGCAGTGAGCTCGACCAATCAAACGGTATGCGGGTTGTAGTTCAGGCCAAAGTGTAAAGTTCCAAATCTCTCTGTTTTTTAACTGAAAGAAATGGTGCATTAAAAGTTCACTGAAATCCTTGTTAATTAACATTTCACTTGGTTAACATTTCACTTGTTACCACCTTCGTCTTAATGGTTGGACAGTTGAATGTTCCTGGTTAAGGGAATGAGTACATGCAGATACAATGCAAATTCAAATTTCATCTACTTTTGGCTGGTCAAATCTACTGATACAACTTGTTTTATTAAGGACCGAAAGAGGGGAAGATTTACTCATACAAGAGAAGCATGAATGTCCTCCGTAATCA